CTGATAAAGTCATGTTAATGAGCGGAACACTGCTTTGATTACAGCTGTTCCGGGGAAATCGCTATTTCTGCCACTCCTAAAGCGCCTCCTGCTGGCAGAGAATAAATGTGCATTTTCAATAAGCCTGCTGTTTTATATATATATATATATATATATATTCCCCAGGGGGAAGTGCTGCCACACATAGAGTGTAAGTCTGTGGGAAACACTGCAATATCATTAGGACAAATCCTTCAAACTGGCTGTTAAGCCTCTCATTAAAAAACACAACTTTATCCTAGAGAATTAGTTAAAGGGGTCACATGACGTTGCTAACAGTTTTGCTTTCACAACGAAACACACAGCGTCACACATGGCGGGTTAGAGTGAGTGCGGCTGGCGGGCTTGTGGCAACCACATGTGATGACCCCGGACTAGACTCCGCTTCGTCCACGGTGAAAGCCGATCTAGCGATCCACAGCGCAAAGTTGATGTATTTCCTCAGCGACCAGCACGGATCAGCTCTAGGCATGACAAAGCGGATATCGTCCTCTTTTGGAAGGTCAAACAAAGAAGTTTCGCTTTCACAACGAAACACACAGTGTCTCCACGACATGGCGGCAGCAGCAATAATACTACAACCAAAATAAAAGTTACGCCTTCTTTCTTTGCATGAACATTTGGGCGGTGTTATGCAAATCTTCCCACATCGTGATGTAGACGTGTGGTGGCGTGTTAGAATGAGCCGTTTTAGGAGGTTGTGGTTGACGCTTAACTTTTATAAAGAATATCTCTTTGGATTTGAGACTTTAGTCTTTGCAACTTTACATATCTTCTTTATGCACCAAGAGCTTGTAACACTTCAAAGAGAAAGGAAAAATTTAAATCGTACCAAATAATGATAATTACGGACTGATCTCAAATCTCCCTTTTCTGTCAAAAATATTAGACAAGGCAGTATTCTCTCAGCTATGTTCCTTCTTAGGGAGAAATGGCATCTGTAAGGATTTCCAATCAGGATTTAGACCGTATCATATTACTGAGTTTGTTCTCATTAGAGTTACAAATGACCTGCTCTTATCATCCGATCGTGGTTGTATTTCTCTGTTAGTGCTACTGGATCTTAGCGTTGCATTTGACACTATTGACCACAATATTCTTTTGAATAGACTACACAATTATGTTTGCATTTGTGGAATTGCATTGGCATGGTTCAAATCTTACTTATCTGACCGTCATTAATTCGTAGCAGTGAATGAAGTGGTATCATATTGTAGGGATTTTCTTAATATGAACAGACATTGATATCACTATTCACAAGGTTCGCTATTTCATCCAGCACATGAATCCCATATTCTTGGGTGATTTCCTGTCAGTATGGTCAACTCATATGGTTTAATCAGGTGGACTTGGGACATTCAGACCCGAGTTTTAGCAAAACCTGAATAAATTAATAACGATTAATTCCCTTACAACTAAGTAAATTATTACATATGGTGGAGAATAGAATGCTGGCAAGATTGACTGAAAAATTAATGACCCAATATAAATATTATGAATTTTGTCTAATTTTTATCCGGAAAAATAGACAAAAGACAAAAGAAACTGAATTTATTGTGTATTTGGTTATGTATTTTAGCACGGAAGAGCGTTTTGGTCGAATATAAAACTCGAGTTGTTCTTTAAAAAGAATTGAACTGCAGAAAAATGTTTTCTTTAAGTCGCTTTAAGAGCGCACGAACAGAGAAGCAAGCGTGTCCCTTGTTCTTCTGTCTTTTAAAAAGGCCTTCATAGTTTGATTTGTTGGTGCGTGTCCCACCTCCGAATGAGTCTATGATAAATAAATCTCCCGGCTTCAGACCATTAAACTAGCTAATTAATGCTCTGGCCATTTAATTCACTAGAAACTAGTGGACTTGAAACGCGGTGCTCAGGAAGAGTGTCCGGACGATATTCATTTTGGGAGAATTATGAAACTTGATCAAGTGAAAGGTGGTTAAATCCACGTGTGTTTTGTCTGTAATAAGACATGTGCTGATATCCGCCGAAGATATCGTTGACAATTATTGTATTAATTGCAATAAATCTGTACGTTAACTCACCTCACTCTGACGAGTTGAGTGCTAGATAGGAACAAACACTCCCAAACACGAACGTAATAACTTTGTGAACACAATCATAGTTGAGTTTTAATCACGTTATTGAAGGTTTGCCTGGCTTAAAAGCTGTTGTTGTCTTTGTTTTAAGATGTTATTCTGGTCCTCAGCCCCATTACTGTAATGCTACGTCGTTTAATTCAGCTATAACACCCTTATAATATTATGTACATCGGTAAATATCAATTTGCTATACGTAAGGATTTGAAATTGTGAAGTACATTTAATAATTAATTACAAATTGTGACGCCACATGACTATCCCATGTTAACCACCTGCTTCCTGCATGACCGAAACCCTTACTTTCCTGTGCCACAGACAAAGAAACAGAACATTGTATCTATTTTAAAAGACAAATTGTTTAAAACGTATAACTAGTGAAAATGTATCCACTGTATGTGTTAGGCCGTTTATATATATATATATATATATATATATATATATACATCCAGGAAGCCCGCGACCGCGATGGAATCACCTCTGCTTTCAGCTGTCAAACCAAAGAACGCAAGTAACGAACAAACTCTTCAACTCAGCTGAACTGGTGTAGAGCTAAGTTAAACAGTAAAGATAAGACAATCGCTGCTTGGTGTTCTCCTAGGCTGAATTTAAAACCACTCGCGAAACTTAATGCAACTCCGTTGACTCCTTTCATTGAATCTTTGTGTGTATGTGTGTTTATGTTTTAGTTAGGTCTTTATGTAATCTAGATTAGCCAATAAAATTCATGTTTCATTTATAAAGAAGAAGTTTCTTGGCTCATATAATTTTAAGGTTAAACCTATGCCAAAACGATCCTTGCTTGCTACTTATCTCGTAGCTTACTTATAATAATTACCTCTGTTAAGAGCTTACAAATAATCATAACTGTATTTCACCCGTGGCCAGGGAGAATACAACAGACACATATTAAATTTGTTAAAAGATACTAAGAATCACCGGCTCGCTAGACGACCTTGATTTGAAGTAAAACTAACAAATTTGGAATGGTTTAATCAGGTGGACTTGGGACATTCAGACCCGAGTTTTAGCAAAACCTGAATAAATTAATAACGATTAATTCCCTTACAACTAAGTAAATTATTACAATATCAATCACAAGTACAGTATGGAGTACCACAAAGCTCAGTACTAGGACCGCTGCTTTTCATACTTGTTACCCATGGGAGATATCATCAGGAAACATGGTGTTAGCTTTTACTTATACTTATTTCAGTTATGCTGATGAGACTCTCAGCATCTCTATTTCTTTGCGGCCCGACGATACATACCAATTCGCCAAACTAACGGAATATCACACTACTGTGCCAAAGAACGGACAGGCAGACGACATAGCAAACACACAGGCTTTTATAATCCACAGACAGGTAGGCTATAATCCAAACAGGGCAGGTTGGTGACACACAAAGTATTGACGTTCAAGACCTGACAAAGAATGAACAGAAATGGAGCAACTTAAATACACAGACCAATCGAGGATAATTAACACAGGTCAACAGAATGACACAATCAGGCACAGAAGGGAAACTAAGTAAAGGGAAGCATGAGGAAAGAAAACAAACTAAAACTCCATGATCATGACAGTACTCCCCCCTCTGGCCAGGTGCAACCTCGTGCTGTAACAAAAACAACAATGGAGGGACGGAGGGGACTAAGGAGTGGAGTTGGGATGGTAATAGGGGAGGCAGGCAGGAAGGCAGGCAGATGACCAGGGCGGTGATGACGGGAGGGAGGAGCCATGGAGGAATCATGAGGAACCACGGCGGATCAGATGGAGGGAGGAGCCAGGGAGCAGCCCGGAGCAGGAGGAGACAGGTGTTGGTCCAGAGCCTAGCCAGGATTGTGGCCCACGGTGGAGCCGATGGAGGAAGGAGCCACGGTGGAGGAAGGGCTGACAATACCAGGGGGCCGTCTGATGGAGGCGGAGCAGGTGGAAGAAGAGCCCAGGGCGGCAATGGAGAGCCGACGAGCCAGGTCAACGCAGGGTATCCAGAGGGCCAAGGCGGAGCAGATGGCTCAGGCGACTGAGGCGTAGGTGGGGATCCAGAAGGCCATGGTGGAGCCGGAGCGACAGAGGACAAAGGCTAGCTGGAGGGAGGGAGGAGCCCAACATAGCCAGAGGGACGAAGGGACAAGGCGAAGCAGGAGTGTACTCCCGAGGCGAGGGCAGGTCGACGGGATGAGGAAACCCGGCGAAGCTGATGAAATGACAGACCACGGCAAGGAGGAGGGAGCTAGGAGCCATGGCGGAGCCGCTGGGTCAACGGCCTGAGGCGGAGTACAGGACTCAGAGGCTGGAGGAGGAGACAAGGCATACTCCAGCCACGATGCCAATGGAGACTGGCAGACCCGAGGCAAACCCATAACACAGATGGTGGGCTAAGGGTGAGCTGAGGGGCTGGCAGGGTGCAGCAGCAGCGGGACAGAAGATGGAGGATGGCTCATGAGAGGAGGTAGGAGAGGGAGGGTGGGTGGGATTTCATGACAGTCTGGGGGTTCTGGGATGGTGTATGCTGCCCACACACACCAAATGGCGAAACCCATGACAGAGAGTGCCACTGACAGGGGAACGACCTCCATGGTCGTGGCAGGACAGACAGAAAGTTCCAGGCAGACAAACAGTTCAAAACAGACCTCCATGGTCATTTCAGGACAGACAGGGAGTTCATAAACGACCTCTTTGGCCGTAACAGGACAGGCAGAGATTTCAGAAGATGATGGAAGACTGGGGATAACTGAATAAAAGTCTATTCAATCCTCAGAGTCCCGCCACAGCTCACCCGCAGCGGTGGTACAGTGGGTGGGGCTTACCTCTGCACTGTTTCATCCACCATCGCGTGCGTTGTTGCTGGTTCTCACACCTGGTCAGACGATCGGTGAGGATCTGGCTCTGGGACGATCCTCAGCTCTGTCGCTCTTTCTTGCAATGGCTCGTTGCGGCGGACTTTGGCTCTCCGTCTGTGGTGGGCTCTGGGATTCCGTGCAGTGGGGTGATGGTTGGCTGGGCTCTGGGTATGGAGTGGGGCTGGTGTCATCGTCAGCTGGTCCGGCAGTCAGGGATGAACTACATGATACCAGCACCCACTCCATGTAGTCCTCGAAGCTCCCTCGAGAGCCCTCCCCAGAAAACTGCGCTTGTGTGGCGGTGTTAAGCCCAGCGTGCAGAAACGAGAACAAGCAGTTGTCCGGAAAGGTGGTCCGATGTGCGAGACTCAGGAATTCCTGAATTTGTGCTCTGCATTTAACCCATCCAAGTGCACACACACAGCAGTGAGTAGTGAACACACACACACACACACACACACACACACCGTGAACACGCACCCGGAGCAGTAGGCAGCCATTTTTGCTGTTGGGGGTTCGGTGCCTTGCTCAAGGGTCTCACTTCAGTCGTGGTATTGAGAGTGGAAGAGAGCATTGGTCATTCACTCCCCCCACCTACAATTCCTGCTGGTACCAAGACTCGAATCTGCAACCATTGGGTTACAAGTCCGACTCTCTAACCATGACTGTCCCGAAAACAAATTAACTTTAAAGAAATAAGAAAATAACTTTGATAAGAAACATTCTTGAGCACCAAATCATCCTATTAAAATGAGTTCTGAAGGATCATGTGACATTGAAGACTAGATTAATATTCAGCTTTGCCATCACAGGAATAAAATACATTTTTAAATATATAAAAATAGAAAACGATTATATAAACTAATGAAAAAATTCACAATATTACTGTTTTTACAAAATTTTGATCCAATAAATGTGGCCTTGGTGAGCATAAGAGACATCTTTTAAAAAACACTAAAAAAATCTTACAGACCTCAAACATTTGAATGTAGTGTATATTATAATTTTTTTTTATTTCTTATTTATTTCTTTTTTATTTTAGGAATGTGCTCATTACCCCACATTCGCTTTGCATGCAAATTTTATTACATAGCTCTAACTGTATGTGTTTATTTTGGCACAAAAAATGAAGAAAAACCTGGCAATTTCAAAATGTAAACACACGTTTCCTCAAGTTTTTATTATGAGCTGATATTCCATACTTTGCTTTTAGCTGCATGTAAATAACACTCAATGACCCACAACTACAATTATCACCACATGACACAAAACTCAAAGGGATCAACAAACACAACACCAGTGCAAAATATGCAGTAACATAGTAAACAATAAGACTTTAATTAACATGATTTATTCATGCCATCACAACCACTTATTCTGGGTGATGTCACATCATCCTGACAAAGTCTGTCCTTTTCCTTTCATTATATACTAGTTTGTGGCTTGAGATTTTCAAACAATGTATAAAATTGTTAGGGCAGTTCAAAATTTGAACCATAATTTGACAAGACAGCAAGCACTCTTAAGTTGACAGGTAACATCCTATTTAAAGTAAGAAGAGTTACCTAACCCAATAAAAAAAGGTGTCCTCACCAAAAACCTTGAGAAACAGTTCGTGCTCAACTTCTCCTGCCTTGTTAGAGGCTTTGCAGGTGTAGGAGCCCCCATCGTCATGCTGAATGTTTCGAACTGTGAGCGTCGTACCTCGAGCTCTCATTACATACTGCTCCGATTCCTGGAGCTGCACTCCCTTCCTGACAAACCACACATATACAACACATATCAGTTGAACAAAGCCTACATTCTCAACACTGTGGTATTATACATATTGCAAGAATAAAATCTCCCTGACCAGCCAATCAAAAAAATATTATACATAATGCAGATGTAGGAAGCGAAGAAATGCCAGGTGATAGGTTATTCATCATAGATGGAGATACAACATTTCAGAATATTCTGTTACATTCAATATACATACCGTATAGGTATGCCGTTGACGTGGGGACAGAATAATGAAATATTTTTAGAGAAGATTACAGCGCAGCTTCAGACTGTCATAAAGTTAGGAGAGGAATGAACGGAAATGAAATCTAATTTAAAGCAGAGAGACCTGTGTGGCTACAGGAAATGGGGAGAAATGAATCAAATCACTCTCTCTCTCTGGCTGTACAGACGGAGTCAACAGAGAGACACAAACAGACGGATGCTCCATTCCAGTAGCTGCTTCAACAAAACTGTTGAAATCGAGCAGATGTTTCTCAGCCAGAGGACATTACAACACATTAACTGTAGTGACACTAATTGTACACAAGTCTCACTGGTGCAACCAAGTGCAGTGCTCAAGGGCACAATGATAATTGAGCAGGTCTGTAACCTTAGTAACTTTCCAGTCTCCAGGTTGTCCCTTATTGGAATTAACACTATTATGTAGGTTCTAGCAGATAATCGGGATGGAGCAGATTATTCAGTCAATCAGCCAGTCATCCATCAATCGTTCCATTGTTCTATCTATCATTCATTCATCCATCCATACGTCTATTGTTCCATCCATCCACCTATCCACCCATCTTTTACAAATGTAAAATTTAATTACACAATTTAAAAGGGTAGCTGACTAATTAACTAGTTAACTGACCTCTTTTAACATTAAAAAGAGTAAAAATGTACATGTGACTGGTTAATTTTACCATTAAAGCACCTTTTTTACTAGTTTATTTAAATATTCATGTATATAGTGTAACAACATGTCCATATGTGTGGTAATTAAAAATGCATGTAAAATAAAATAGTATATTTCCATAAAATTTAACATGATCCACTCTTTGCAGCAATGGTGATAAGTTTGTCATACCTGTGCCAAGTAATATCAGGTTCAGGTGAGCCGTAGGCCCGGCAGGTGAAGGTCACAGATTCTCCATAGTCCGCAGTAGCATTAAAAGACTGCTGTGGCACAGAGACGACCGGCGGAACTGTTTGAGAAAGAAAATATTGTATAATATTGAATAGTGAATACTGTCACTTTTGAATTACACAAATACAAAAAACTTAAAATCATTTCAAATTTTTCAGTGTGAAATCTCTTGGAAGTTTTCATGTTATTTCTCAATTGTTCTAGTCTCAACAAATACTTATTCAAATGACACATTCATTCACAAGCCATCAACATGTTCTCACTTCCTGGGAAATGGTGGTTGACAGCATGTGGCACCCATTGAGCTAAATTAACGCTCAGATGCTGTTTTCATGAAATCCTAGATTAAAATTTCACTGTACAAAGTCTGCTCATGCTGAAAAAGTTTTAGAGTGTATGACAACACAAATGCTGTATTATCCTGTAATGTAGTGAGTTTTTATTTATATTCCAACACACACAGGCACAGCAGTTGATAGAACTAACTCCTTATTCACTCACCTTCATCTCCAGTGCATACAGATCATCAACAACATGATCACACTCAAAATGCCCCCTCACAAGCCAGAAAAAGAATGAATAAATACATCAGCCACCCTCTGTGTCCGAATCAATATGTTCTGAGCAGTCCACTTAATTATATAGTGAAAGGTCAATGGAGAAAGACTTCGGGGTCAAACAAGAGGTCAACCTGGATGACCTCAAACAAACTTCCACTAACAATCTCAAAAAAAAAATTTCAGTTTATATTCATAAAAAAAATCGACTTATCTTTGTAAAGTGACTGTTTACAGCTGAAAGTATATGTGTAAGTCTATTAAAGCTCTATATGTGAACTCCAAGGTCAGGCAGATAGCGATTTTCATTGGCACAGTCTATTATGGGAATGTGCGATGATTTGAGTGCGAATTTTTATTTCCATCTCTGCAGAGAACTGGAAGGTGATAAAGTAATTTCAGACTGAACCTAACCCAATTTCGACTCATTCAGAAATTACTCTGCCATGCCCTTCAAAATTAGGTAATTCACCTGAGAGGGAACGGCGTTCAAATAGTTTCAATAATAGGCAGCAATGTTCTTCTGCAAACTTCTTACACCGATTTTTAAATACAGCATTTTTGCTCCCTTTTGCAATTTTTTTTTTGGTTTAGACAATGGATGGAGCCATCATGTTTGGAAAAAGGCATCATTTTGAGTTGTGACTGGTTTAAAGACATAACACAATTTAATGGAGTGTAAGCCGGAGTAAAAAGATTAGATTAAATGGATGTTTTATTCATGGTCACTTTCAGCCCGACTTAGCAGTATATTAACACATCCCTCTCATCCTTTATTAGAAATCATAAACGCACACACTATTTGCTTTCCCCCCTGCACATTATGGGTCATTCATTAGGTAGACCCAAACAGCTGACAGCCAAGTTCAAATTAATGCCACAATTGTTTTGCCATTTGTCTTCAGTGCATCAATGGCATGCATTTCTCCTGCAAGGGAACTTTGAAGCAGAAATAAGTGTGCTTTTGTTGATGAAATGATAGTTGTGGAGGTCCTTATGGGCATCATCATCATTACGGCTGGGGTTCAATCTCAAACCAGAGCAGCTCAGCAAGCTTTGTCCACTCTCCAGGGTTAAATAGTTCTAACCTAGGAGGCAGTCCTACAATTGAGCTGGTGGTAACGATGTTGCCTGAGTGAGTGGGAAGCTCAAAGATCATACACAGGGTACTGCAGACTTGTCGATTTTTATCAGTCCTCTGAATTAGATCTTACAAATGTACCTTTTTCATACTTAAAGTGATAGTTCATCATCATGATGTGCCAAAGACAGCAAGAGTTGAAGTCATGACTGATTCTTTCAGTCATTGCTAGGTGGTTGTCCTGCATCTTCAATAAACAAGCTACAGGTAGTCCAAAATGCAGCGGAGTCCTTACCAGGCCAAGAAAATATGATCATATTACCCCAATTTTACAGTCTCTGCACTGGCTACCTATTAAGTTCCATATCAGTTACAAAATATTATTACTTGCCTATAAGACCCTTAATAGGTTAGCTCCTGCGTACCTAACTAGTCTTCTACCACGCTACAATCCATCACGCTCCCTAAGGTCGCAAAACTCTGGACTTTTGGTAGTACCTAGGATAGCAAAGTCCACTAAAGGAGGTAGAGCTTTTTCGCATTTGGCTCCCAAACTCTGGAATAGCCTTCCTGATAACGCTCGGGGTTCAGACACACTCTCTCTGTTTAAATCTAGATTAAAGAAACCTCTTTGGCCAAGCATTCAAATAATGCATCTCATAATCTTGTACTGCAGTTATATCTGATCAAATGCACATTACTATTCTTTAGTTTTGCTTGGTTGGAACAGCAGCTACACTAATTATATCTCTATTTGTTTCTCGGTTTTTGCCACCAAGCTTCAGTCTGGATCCAGAACACCTGAGAAGAGATGATGCCAACCCCTAGAGGACCTCAGATGAAACAACCCTGAAACAACTTACAGAACTACCACATTGTGCAATAAGTTTGATTGCATCATATAATAATTGCTGTTAATAATGTTCATTGTCTGTTTTATTACGTCTTAAATTGATTTTTCCGTACATTTCTGCCATATGCACATTAACTGACAGTCACCACTGATAAGCTACCACTAAATATTGTAAAAACTTAATTTGCTGTGAAGTTGCTTTGCAACGATTTGTATCGTGAAAAGCACTATACAAATA